CTTGGGCTTTTTTTTTTTCTGTTGTGTAATGTTCGCATAGTGCAAAATCTTAGATCAAATTTTGTTTTGCCTTTTATTTCCAGAGCTGATATATCTTGTATCAAAAAATATGATTTGAAATATGTTCTGGTATTGATGACATTCATAGGGAGCCACCAAAAACCCCAAATAGCCAAAGCCCTACTGGAAAAAAAGCAGGGAATGGAGGCACCACACCCCCAGATTTCAAACTATACTCCGAAGCCATAATAATCAAAACTGCATGGTATTGGAACAAGAACAGACACACAGACCAATGGAACCAAATAGAAAATTCAGAAATAAACCCACAGATTTACGGTCAACTAATCTTTGACAAAGGAGCAAAAAATATGCCATGGAGCAAAGCAAGTTTGTTTAATAAATGATGCTGGGAAAATGGGCCTCTACATGCAAAAGAATGAAGCTTGACTACTGCCTCACACCATGCACAAAAACCAACTCAACATGGATTAAAGAACTAGACATAAGACCTGAAACCATAAAATATATAGATGAAAATATAGGCGAAACACAACATGAAACATACCTCAAAAACATCTTTGCAGACACATCACCCAAAGCAGTGATAGTGAAGGCAAAGATAAACATCCACAGCAAAAGAGACAGTAACCAAAACAAAGAGAAACCGCACCGAATGGGAGAAAATTTTTGCACACAACACTAATGATAAAGGACTGATCACAAAAATCAACAAAGAGCTGATGAGACTCAACAGAAACAAAGAAAATAATCTAGTCAAAAAATGGGCAGAAGAGCTAAAAAGAAACTTCTCCAAAGAGGAAATGCAAATGGCCAACAGGCATATGAAAAAAGGTTCAGCATCACTTGTAATCAGGGAAGTGAAAATCAAAACTACCATGAGATACCATCTGACACCAGTGAGAATGGCACATATTAAAAAAACCAGCTACAACAAATGTTGGCGAGGTTGTAGAGAAAAAGGAACTCTCCTGCACTGCTGGTGGGAGTGCAAACTGGTCCAACCACAGCAGAAAGCTGTGTGGAGATTCCTCAACCTGCTAAAGATAGAGCTTCCATAGGATCCAGCAGTTCCACTCCTAGGTATTTACCCAAAGGACACAGAATCATTAATTCAAAAAGGTATCTGCACCCCTATATTTCTAGCAGCACTATTTACACTAGCTAAGCTATGGAAACAACCCAACTGCCCAAAAATAGATGACTGGATCAAGAAGATGTGGTGCATATACACCATGGACTATTACTCAGCCATCAAAAAAGATAACCTCGGGCCTCCCTGGTGGCGCAGTGGTTGAGTGCTGGGGTGCGAAGCTGCCCACAGCCTCTGTAGCACCAGTTCGATCCATGGCCACCAGGCGAGGGTCCCACATGGAGGCGCAGACCTCTCCTGCTACCCGCTGCTCCCCTCAGCAATGTACTTCGGTCCTTCTGCCTGCTCTGCTCCCTGCTCTGCTCTGGTGAATTCTCTCACCCTCCCGCACTTCTGACTGTACCCAGGGCTTGTATAAATAAATAAATAAATCTATAAAAAAAAAAAAGAAGGATAAACTCATGCCATTTGCGCTCCATGGATGGAGCTGGAAGGGATCATGCTCAGCGAAATAAGCCAGAAAGAAAAAGAAAAATACCAGATGGTCTCACTCATAGCAGGAATTTGGAAGACTTAAATAAGGGACCAGGAAAAAGACTAACCATAATAAAGAAAAAATCAAAATCAACAGGCAACTATAAACCAGAGACACACTATGGGGAAGGGGTCCAGGGAGAGGAAGGATTACGGTCACAGTAAGGGGGGGTGTAAAAAAAATATGTTTTGGGTGTTTTTTTCCTACAATAAAGTCACTTCAGTATAACATTTAGATAAATGTGTTTGGCTGACTTTTCCTGAAGAGAAACTTTCTGTTGTTGAAAATCTGAGGTAAAATTTTTTTGATTTTTTTTTTTCATCAAGGCAGGTTTCTTTAGAGGGCTATCTTATTATAAATGTCCTTTGGAATTTTTTTTTTAAGATTCAATTGTTTTTCAATCATAATGAAGAGAAATGCTATTGCAAACAGATTTTGTTTGGAGAAAAAAATATAGGTGTATCACAATCAGTGTATATAAATATAAATATTTTGTATGCTCTGTAAGGAGATTGTGAAATGATAAATTTGTGGAGAACTGTATTTTGGGGACCATATGCTTTGATATCAAGGCAGGAAGCTTGTAAAAATAGATAGTTGAATTATATATTGGTGCAAAGTTTCTCCGGATAAGGGTCAGGTCCGAGATGAAAGTGAAGACAATTGTCTATTGGGTATTTTGTATGTGAATAGAGGGCTTGTCCCTGAGCAGGAATCATCTGAAATATCTGAAACAGTAGTCACAGGGCTGCTGCTATGTCACCCACAAGAGGCTTTAGGACCAATGGAGTGTGAAGTCTTTGGACCTCGTCCAGTTCCGGTAATGTGTACCTGAAGAGTGATGCCCTGCCCGGGGCTTCCCTGATGCCCATGGCTGCTGTGGTGCCTCCTCAGCAGCCCCTCGTGCTGCCATCTGAGTTGAATCTGATGCACTGCTACCAGCTTGCCACCACTGCAGGCCCTAGTGGGAGCAACAGTGATATTTTGAAGGAGCGGTCTTTGTTTGGGACTTCTGGACCTCGTGCACACTCTCAGGGGTGACGGCCGGCCATTTGTGGCCTGTTCCCAACCTTCCATTTGCTGATAAACCCCTTTGTTAGTGCACCCTGAATCTGAGCGGTGTCTTAGAATTTTGAGGGCATGAACGAGAACCCACACAGTGACCTGCCCCCAATCTTGGCACTTTTGAAGTTTATTCGGTTTCACATTGGTGACAGAGTGTCTGAGGGGGAGACAGGGCTACGATTGGAACAAATTGGACTCGAAATGTTTATCGGTGAGTGAGTGTTCCTCAGAGAAGATAGATTCTGAGGAGAAAAACTGAGGAGAAATGTTCATTGGGAAACAGCCAGTGTTTCAAATCCAGGTGGGAGTGACAAAATTACTGCAGATGAGAAGCTGCATTTGTTTGCTTTGCTCCTCTGACCATCAGATATTTAAATCCAAAATAATAATTAATACTGCCTATATTAATTTTTAGTTATATAAAATATGGTTTATACATTGTATATCATTAAAATAGTATATTTAAACACATACATTTATGAATTGTATGTAATGTATAAGATATATTTGTGAGATTAAAATATTGTAAATATTATTATATACACTCCCATAATCCTTTGTTTCTTCAACACTATCTGTTCCCTGGTCAGATGACTCAAAGCCAGTATTTCCAACCTAAACTCACTACTGCTCCTGCAAACTGCAAGTCATTTGAACTATGAACTGCTTTTTAGAATATGTCCTCTTCAATAAAACCCATAAAAAAGGATAGAAACTCAAAACAGGTATCTTAATATTTGGTGTGTTGAAATGTATGTGTGACGACATAATTAAAGAGCAATTTTGGGGCCTCCCTGGGGGTTCAAGAGGTTAAGCACCACACTATGAAGCAATTGCAGCCTCTTTAGCATTAGTTTGATCCCCAGCTAGCCAGGGAGCTGCCCACATGGCGCGGCAGACTCTCCCGTCTTGCCCGCTGCTCCCCTCAGCAGTGTGTTTTAGTCAGTCTGCCTGTTCTGTTCCCCGCTCTGCCTCTGGTGAATCCTCTCACCCCAACGCATCTCTGGCCTGTCCCCCAGGTCTTGTATGCATAAATAAATAAATCTTAAAGGAAAAATAAAAAGCAACTTTGGTTTGGTTCCTCATCAAAATGAGGATCTCGGAAACCACAGCATTTCAGGCTTCTGTGTACACTCTCCGCTAACAGCGCCAGGGAATTTAAGTCACGAAGCGTTTCAATTTAAGTGCCAAGTGTGCAGCCTCACATAATCATTACAGCGCCAGGTGGGCCTTCTGCTCACCCTTCCCACCTCACGCTGCGCTAGGCTGGGGTCCCGCGGAGGGAGGCTGGCTCCTGTCCTTGGCCTTGCAGCATCCCTGCGCAGGCTTGCGGGGGCTCTGGTCCCTGCACCTCAGAGAAGGGAGGGAGCTGGTCCCCCACTCCAGCCTGCAGGGGATTGTGTGGCCTTCCTGACAGCTCTGGCCAAGCAGGCAGACAGCTCCCACCCTGCTCCACAGCCCCCACACATCCCTCCCCTTCTCCCGACAGGCGCCCTGCCAGTCCCAGGCGTCCGGTTGTGGGGAACATGGGAAGTGGACCCCACATCTGGAACAGGCACGCCTGCACCTGCGCTTGGGTCAGAACAACAGGCAAAGGGCAGGCGAGTAACCATTTGAATATTCCACCCGTCAGAGAGCAGACAACAAATGCGCACGGGAGTAAAGTCTGATCCATTTCTTTCTCTTGACATTTTCATCAGGCCTTGTCTCGGGAAGACCCTGTCCGCGGAGCTGAGAGGACGTTCCGTGTGGAATCTCTCCCATCCGTGCATCCAAGTCACTGCGGCCACGGACAGGCGACTTCAGGCTCAGCGCGCCCCCGTGAGGCTCTGCGGTGGCTGCTGCCCCTGCGAGGCCGCGAGGACTGCGCCCAGCCCCAGGAAGTCATGGTGAGGCGAGTGCAAGAATCAGCCCTGGCAGCTGCAGGTCCCGCAGAGGCAAAACGCTCAGACGACGGGCAGCCTTTCTTCCCTCCCCGAGGGGCTCGCCCGCGCCCAGTGCCCACCGCCCGCCCCGAGACAGGGAGCCCTTCGCCCCGAGGCTTGGGGCTTAATCTGCAGAATGAACCGGCGCCCTCCGCCCCAGCACTGTGAGTTATGGGTGATCCGTGGACACGGCGTCGTGGAGCTGATGGGTGTGGTGGGGAGGGGAGCCCCGTGTTTAATGACAGGAGGGTCCAGACCTTCACCTGCTCACAGCAAGGACCCTCCACCTCCCAGGGACCCGCAGACAGTCCCCGCGCTGCCCAGACCAGCTTCTGGCCTCCGGGCACAGTCACCTCCAGGCTCATGGGCTCTGGCCGGGGCCTTGTCCCCTCCCGGGCCCCCCTCCCGCCGCGTCTCTGGTCCTCCTGTGGCTGTGAAGAGCCTCCAAGAGCAGGACCCCCAGGGCCAGCAGGAGGAAGGCGGCCACGCCCAGGCGGATGAGGTTCCCCAGCGTGTAGTCCTGGGGGCGCGGGGCTGGGCCTGGGGGAGAGAGACACGCAGGTCACGCAGGGGACCAGGGCACCTCCCGTCAGGACACGGGGTGAACGTGGGGAGGGTCCTTCTCCATCCGACCAGCCCCTCCCTGCGGGGCTGCAGACTCCTCTGCCCTGGCAACCCTGGTCCGCGCGTCCTGGCCCTGACTCTCCCTCCCGGGCGGACACTCGCAGCCGCAGCCCACGAGCAACGCGACTGTCCTGACCGGCGGGGACACGAGAGGGACATGAGGCTGCGTGTCTGCCGCCTCAGCGTCGGGTCTGTGTGGCCCGTCTACGCGGGCCTCCGAGGGGTCCCAGTGACGGTCCCGAGGGAGACGGGACGGAGCCGATTCCTGGACAGAGGAGCCGGGAGGAGCCGGGACCAGACGGGCGAGGCTCAGGCTGTGGGACGGGCAGGTCCCCGGATGGTCTCGGCTGCTCTTCACCAAAGAAAGAGCCACATCTGTGAGGTGTGGGGTGCAGGAGAGCGGGGGAGCTGACTGTCTAGGGATTCTGCCTTTGAGAGATAGACAGACTATGGAGAATCACCTGCTCCTCCTCTTCCCTCATCCCATATCTCCTCCCACCCTCCCCTGGGTTGCGCCCACCTCTGTGGAGCCCCCGGGGCCTCAGTTATTACTGTCTCAGAGCCCCGAGGACAGGACCTGCGTGACCGGCAGAGAGGACAGGGAAGGGCCTCACCTGAGACCAGGAGCTCCAGGGGCTCACTGGGGTGTGACAGCAGGTAGGGGTCGCTGCCGAGGGAGCTGTAGCACCTGTAGGTGCCCCTGAGGGCTGAGGTGGCAGGACCCAGGGAGAATCCCACCTGGAGCTTCTGAGCTGTGCGCTCTGCGGTCAGACGCAGGGGGGGCTCGGCGGCCCCCTCCTTGGACAGAAGGAAAGTGTCCCTCGGGCCCCGGGACTGACACAGCAGGGTCACGTTCTCTCCGCGGGTCACATTGGGGCCCGGGTGCACGGACAGGGAGGGGGTGTCAGGGAGCATTCCTAGAGAGAGGAGGGGAGAGGGCTGGCCCGCCGTGTTCTGGGGACCCTCATCTCTGTGTCTCTGTGACCTGGAGTCTCCCTTGTCCCCTCCCCTGTCTCCTGTCTCTCTCCCTCCCTGGGGACCCACATCTTTCCTCTTGTCCCATATCTGGAGTCCCCAGCAGGGTCTGTGCTGATGGAGGGTCCTGACCGGCCCCTGGCTCCTCACCTGCCACCAGGATGTCCAGGGGGTCGCTGGGGGCTGACCACTGGGCGGAGAGGCTGTGTCCCCCGTAGCATCTGTACTGGCCCCCGTGGAGGCGGCTCACCGGGCCCAGGGGGAAGTGGGCCTGAGACAGCCCAGCTGGGGAAGCCTGGCCAGGGCTTTGCTGGAGGCCACCGGCCCCCTCCCGGGCCAGAGTGAATCTGTCGTAGCCAACTTCAGAGCCACACTGGAGGGTCAGGTTCTGTCCAGAGGCCACGACAGGGCCCTGCGGGGACAGGAGAGAGGGCTTCCCAGACCCACCTGGGGAGAGACCAGGGGATGGCGGGGGTGGGTCCTCCCTACTCCCTTACCTTCCCGCAGGAATCTGTAGTGTCTGTGTGACTCTGAGACTGTCCCCATGTCCCAGAATTTCTGAGCTCCTGTCCTCTGTGTGACACCCAGGCCTCTACTGGGCCTGACTCAGACCCTAGGGCATCTGTGGTAGCGCTCCTCACCTGAGACTAGGAGCTCCAGGGGCTCACTGGGGAGTGACCATATCTGGGGGGTGTTGTTGCAATAGCCATAGCACCTGAACAGCCACCTGTGACTGGCGGTCACGGGGCCCACAGGGAACAGGGCCTGGAACTGCCCACTGGGGAGTCGCTGTGAGTCCAGGGTCCAGGAGGAATTGTGTTCTTCCTCAGTCAGGCGGAACCTGTCAAACCCCTGGCCTGAGCCACACTGGAGGGTCACGTTCCCTCCTGAGGTCACCATGGGGCTTGGCAGGGCTGAGAGGCTGGGTCTGTAGTAAGATCCTAGCAGAGGCAGAGACAGTGTTTTAAATGGGGACACTCCCACCACATCCCCCAGGGCTGTGCCATGAGCAGGGAGACAACCCAGGAGCAGACCCCCTCCCTGAGGGCAGAGCCTGAGGCTGGACCCAGAGTGTGCTCTCACTTGCCAGCACCATCAGCTCCAGGGGGTCACTGCGCTCTGACCAGCCAGCAGAGGTAAGATAGACACAGTGATATCTCCCTGCATAGTGCTCTGTCAGGTATGGGATGGGCAACTGGGCCTTATCCCTGGACTCCTTTGTCATCGGTCCGTTCCAGGAGCCTGAGCTTCCCTCTCTATACAGACGGAACTCCTTGGCCCCCCGGGCTCCCTGACACCAGATGGTCACAGGGTCGTCCAAGGGGATCAGAGAGCCTGGCTCAGCCCAGAGGGTGGGTTTGGGCAGGGCCCCTGGAAGGAATCAGAGGTGGTCACAGGTGTCCCCACACCAGATCCCAGCCCCCAGCCAGACCCTCCCAGACATCCCCTCCATCACCCCAGACCTGCTGTCTCCACCCCGAGCAGCCCCGGGGTGCCCCCTCCCCAGTGAAGAGGCGGGACCTGGGACACCTGGGCACAGACTCACCTGCCTGCTCTGGGGTCCCGGGGCCCACACTCAGCCCTGGAAGAGAGGCCAGTGAGAGGCCTGCCCCGAGTCCTGACAGAGCCTCCTCCCGGAGCCTCCGGAGTCCTGGGTCTCCTGACAGACCAGGCCTGGCCGTGGGGTCCCTCCAGACCAGGGCGCCCTCCCTCCTCACACCTCACCCAGGCAGAGCAGGGCCGTGAGGCTGGGGGTCATGGCGTCCTCTCCGTGACCTGGCTGTGGGGATGGAGGGCCCAGGGTGCTGGCAGGATGGACAGACACACGGGTGGGGACACTGGGGGTTGGTCCTTCCTGTCATGGGGTTGTCAAGTCATCTCCCACAGGAAGGGGAACTGTCCTTCCGCTCTGCTCTGGTTTTATCACAGTGCTCTCCTGAGGTGCTCCATGCAGGGGAGGGAAACCCAGGGCATGTCCTCCCTCAGAGCCTCCCCCTGGGTCTCCTCACCCTCCGCCCGTCCATCAGCACATCCTGTGGTCTCAGTCTGGACAGGGTCCCCAGGCCCTGGAGTTGCTCAGGGAGGGTTGTTACCACCTGTAGAGCTGAGGTTACCGTCCACCTGAGAGTCAGGCCAGGCCACAGAACGACCAGCCCAGGGGGACCCTCAGGGAAGGGCTGGGCCTTTCCTGCCTCTGTGGCTTCTCCACAGCTCCTTCCCTTCTCTTTTTTCTTGCAGCAGTCTCCACCCCCACCACCCTGGGAACACGCCTGAGAGTTACTCCTACCACCTGGGTATCCCTATCCTGGACAGACTCCCCTCCCTTCCTGCGTCTTGTCTTCAGTTTTAGGGGACAGGATTTTGTGAGAACCCTGAATTTGATGGAAAACTGCTCTGTTTAAAATGAAACTCAGTCTAAATTCAAGTACAAATTTGGTAGCCTGTCATTTGGTTGATAGAAGGAAATTTTGTGGAACCTCAGTAGAGCTCCTGGGACACTCCACAAAATTTCTCCCTTTCCTCCTGGGAAAGGCGTTAGATGAATTTGTCCTGTTTGGCTTCCCTAGTAAAGTAAAACTAGAAGGGAAGCATCGTCACTGGGGAAAACGGGTAACACTTTCAGATGTACAGAAATGTTCACATTGGTTTTCTAAAACGTGTCTACAGCCTCTCAGTACCTGATATGTATGTGCATTGCCAATGGTGATTGTTGCCTTGCAGTAGTGTGTAGTACACAAACTGTTTCTGGAGAAAATAGGGAGAAAAGCCCTCAACAGATTCCTACTGATGGAACTGTTGAGAGTAGAAATTTCCTACAAAGAACTGAATAGACCTGGAAATACACCTGATTTTTACTACGTTTTCTTTGACATAATACTTGTAATTTTTTTTATTTTTATTTTATTTTTATTTTTTAATTTTTTTTAATAGATGCATGTTTTATTTAATTATTTATTTGGTTTTTTTTTTTTTGTTTTGTTTTGTTTTGTTTATACAAGCACTGGGTACAGTCAGAAGCATGGGAGGGTGAGAGAATTCACCAGAGCCAGAGCGGGGAGCAGAGCAGGCAGAAGGACCGAAGTACACTGCTGAGGGGAGCAGCGGGCGGCAGGAGAGGTCTGCGCGCCTTGTGGGACCCTCCTCTGGTGGCCGGGGAGCAGCCGGGGATCGAATCGGCGCTGCAGAGGCTGCGGGCAGCTTCGCAACCCAGCGCTCAACCGCTGCGCCACCAGGGAGGCCCATAATACTGGTAATTTCATTTTTTTTTTTTTTTGCATTTGTTCTGAATCCACAAAGTTTTCTTGTTTTGAGTGACCAGGATCTGCAGCAATGTTGGTTTTTTTTTCCAGCAAAGTGAACTTGTTCACATTTTCTCTCCCCTTGATACCAACACGCATGAAAATAGTGGTAGTAATTTTTTTACTACTTATCTCAGAGTCTGTTTTTGCATAGGTTCCATAGGGATTTGTCTGCTAAAACCAAAACAACTGGGCATGAATTTCATTGTGTGGCTTTGAGTGGAATCTTGCAGGAAGTTGAAACGGAGCTGAACCAAGAAGAGGAGAACCTGTTGCTTTGTTCGCAGACTCCAGAGACCTCCAAGGGAGGTGGGGAAGCTGCCTCCATGGTCAGGACTGGACAACCCGGAAAAAGAAAAAGCCTTGGTACCCTGGAGAAGAGGAAGCCCAGGGGGCGTCTGATGAGACCAGCTTTGTTCTTGAAGACTACGGGGACCGGATGTCAAGAGTTCGCTCTGCTCCTTTATGGAGTATTCCAGCAAAGCAGCTAAAATTGCTGTTTAGTTATACTGCCCTGTGATTTTATGCAAAAATAGGTGATATGGTTTAAAAGTAGATTTGGTTTGCAATCTTTTGCTGCACTTTTGAAGCAATTTGGGATTGAGGTTGAGAGAACCTGTTTTTGCACAAGTTGAATCAATTTTAATATTTTTCCTGTATTTGATATCTTTGCTGTTTTGTTTTGGCTAATGCCTCCAGATTTTTTTTTTTTTTTTTTTTGGCTTGGACTGATAAACTATTTCCCAGGAATGGAGGACTTTTGCTTTCCACAAAGGACAAGACCTGGAGAGACTGGTTTGCTTTCCAATGCGAACCCTGAGAAAAATTTTCATGTAAGACTGTACCCCAGCATCCATACATTTGATCGTCAACACCATGGAAAGGGTGGCAAAAAGTGAAGCTAATTCCATACAGGCTTTGCAGATGCCACCCCCACTCCATCAAGACACCAGGAACGACAATCCCAGGATCCCTAAAGGGAAGTGGCGAGGACCTAAGGGACCGAAGGGTGGAGTTAAGCAGCCATTTTCTCTGTTTGTAAATAAAACCCAGCCATGTTAGTGGGGTCGGGCACACTTGGCTCGTGCTCTTGGCCGGGCAGGTTTGGTCTCTGCGGGTCATGGGGGATTCCAGGTCAGCGGAACACATTTAAGAATTTATCTCCCTCTTTTCTCCCTGAGTTGTACATTTCCTCATCCCCCTTCCCTTGTAAAGAAACCTTTTGTTAACCTTTAAAAAATTAAAAAATAACAATAAAATTAAACTCAGTGGTGACATTATTCCTGCTCTGTGACCTGAGGGGTCATGTTCTTTCTCTGACTTCCGGGTCCCTGGCAGGTCATGTTATAAGGAATCCCCGCCCCCACCACCCGCCCGCCCAGTGCAGCGTGGGGTCTCTCACTGTCCACCCATTTCCAGGCTGGGCTGGACCCGAGTGAGCAGGCCCGGGAGGTTCGGGTCAACTCCACAGTCAGGCAGAGGGTGGATCCGCCCACTCAGGACCCGCCTCTTCCCGTCATCATCGATCTGAACTGGGTCATTTTGCTGGTTGCTTAGAAGGCCCAGGCTGAATCTTGGGTATTCCCTAGACCAGGTTTTACCCCAGATGGTGCCACCAAGGGCAGGGGGGCAGCAACTGCCTTCCAAGGAGCAGGCAGGAGTATGTGGGTGAGGGTTCTCTGCAGCCTCGGGGCACCAGCCGGGCCAGCCAACTCCCAGCGTCCCTGCTGCAAGTGGCCCAAGGGCACCCAGGCGAGTGTCTGAGGCACAGGTGTTGCCAGTTACCCTGGGAAAGAGGAACATTCCCGAATTATTAGCTTAGCTGTCCCCTCCCACCTAAATCAATGGTGCCTTTGTGCAGCCAAGAGCCCCTTCCTCTAAACTGCAACGCGCCAGTTCTAAGTGACTTTCAGGAGCGGACAGTGACTGCAGGGTATGGGAGTGGGGATCTGGGGGTGAGTCACCCTGCCTGGACGGTTACGCCAACAAGGAGAACAGCTGCTTATGATGTTTCTGAAATGTGGAGCCACAGACAATGCAGAAATGGGGAAATGAAGTTCCCCCAGTTGGGGGGCTAGGAGGGGAGGGGGACAAAGCTGGGGACCCTGGTGTCTGGGACCACCTAGGGTGACGGGGAGGAGACTCCCCTGTGTGAACCCAGGGGCCTTGTAGATGGGGAGGGGACAGGGTGGGGTGGCCAAGGGCTCTGACCCTCCTGTGTTTCTGGGATATCTGCCCTGACTGGCCACGCCCCGGTGTGCTGAGACAATGGCTCAGGTGTGGTCACCAATGGTGTTACCCCTGTGTCAGAGTGGGGCTGCCCTGCACTATCCCCTGGACCCAGGGCGAGCAGCTGCAACTACTCCTCGTCAGCCCCACCCGCAAGACAGCCCTGAAGGTCCCTCTATGTATAACCCCATGTACAGAGGACTCCAGTAGGACGGTGTTGGGGATCCTGACGGTGACAGAGCACTGAGGGCCACCTCCTGCAGGTGGCCAGCCCCACAGGGAGTGACCAGACATGGATGATCTGGTGCCCTCTGATGGCCACAGGCGGCTCTGGCTAGGAGGAGTGCCCCCAAGGTCCAGGCTCCCGATGAGCCCCAGGGGCTTGTGTCCATCTCTGTCTGAGTCCTCCGCCCCACTGGCTGTTACCCCCTAGTGAGAGTCGCTGCAGGCTCCTGCAGATGTCCTCTAACAGGCTGAGGAACGGCCCTTCAGCTTCTGCTGTGCCAGAGTTTGTTTTTTTTAAAAAACCTATGTCACGGTTTATGGCATTGTGTAGGTGTTAGACGAACACACGTATGTGTCAGCATCTGTTTACACAGCGCCATGCTCTTCCCCCAAGTCTAGTGTCCAGGCATCTACAAGCTGCCACCTTCACCCAGCGTGCCCTGTTCCCTTCCTATTCCCTTCAACACTGATATAAAATTTTCAACTTATTTTCTTTCTTTCTTTTTTTTAAAGATTTATTTTAGTTATACAAGAGCCGGGGTACAGTCCAGATGCGCGGGAAGGTGAGAGGATTCCCCAGAGACAGCGTGGGGAACAGAACAGGCAGACTGATGAAACACACTGCTGCGGGGAGCAGCGGGGAGACAGGAGAGGTCTGCTTGGCCATGTGGGTTGCTCCGAGGCCAGCTGGGGTCAAACCGGCGCTGCAGAGACTGCGGACAGCTTCACAGCACTGCGCTAAACCAACCGCCTGTGCCACAAGGGAGGCCCTATTTTCTTTTTTTTAAAGATTTTTTTATTTATGCACATAAGATCTGGGGCGTAGGCCAAAGATGTGGGGGGTGAGAGGATCCACCAGAGAGAGTGGGGAGCAGAACAGGTAGATCTACTGAAATCCACTGCTGAGGGGAGCAGCAGGGAGACAGGAGAGGTCTGCTGTGCCCTGTGGGTCAGCTCCCTGGCCCGGGATCAAACCTGTGCTGCAGTGGCTGGCGATTGCTTGACAGCGCTGTCTTTCACTCCTGCGCCACCAGAGGCCCTCAG